AGATAGGAAAGAAGGTGGGGAGCTGGATGTGCAAGGGCAGGAGGTGGGATGAGCTCTTAATTAATCAACCATCTCCAGTGTGATACTCCCCCGTGGGGATCCCAAGTCATCTGGCAGATCCAGGTCCTCAGGTTCTTTCAGAAGATGGGGATATATTAGGGGATATTTCTATCCAACCCTTGTCATGGTAGGATCATTTCCTCATCAGGCTTGACTTCCATACTGCTACCCCTCACTGCAGGGAGGTAGAACTGACTAGATGCTTCCGCCCCAGACGCCTGATGGACCCTGAAAGGTTCCTGATGGAGCTTGGGACTTTTCCTGAATCCCTTGCTCACAACTCGACCGAAGCCCTAGTGGAAGCCTGGGCTAGGGCGGCCACTGGGGCTTTGGATCGTGTTGTGCCTTTGCGGCCTCTGATCCAGTGTCGATCCCGGGTAGCTCCCTGGTTTACCAAGGTGCTTTTTCAAGAGGCAACTGGACTTTTATGCTTTTTCTTTTGAAGACATTTCACTTCTCATCCAAGAAGCTACTTCAGCTCTGACAGCAGGATAATAGGGAATGGAAGGATTTATATTCCTTGCAGAGAGCTGGTCATTTGTGTCCTTTTAGAGGGTCATTGAAGCACTTGGAGGTTTATCTGTGTCCTCAGGGTCACCTGAGTGGTACTCCTGGTTCCTGTAGTCGTGCCTAGATAGCCCCAAACTAGTTCAATGCAGCATCTCTTTTCTTTCAATTCTAACAGGATGGGTTCACTCCACTAGCAGTTGCATTGCAGCAAGGACACAATCAGGCCGTGGCTGTTCTTTTGGAGAATGACACCAAGGGGAAAGTGCGACTGCCGGCACTGCATATTGCTGCTAGAAAAGATGACACCAAATCAGCAGCGCTTCTTCTCCAGAATGATCATAATGCTGATGTTCAGTCTAAGGTACAAAAATTACCTCTTTTTCCAGAATGGTATCAAAGATAGGATGTTTACAAGGATTCCCACCCCAGCCCAGCCCAGCCCATGAGCAGGATAAAATAATGCTTTTTCCAGTGAGATTGGAAGGGCAACCATTTGCAGCTTTTTGTATTATTCATATAGTTATTAATTTATGGTCTACAGCATATTTATAAATTGTCTTAATGTGGATAATAAGCATACAACATTATAAAAGCTACTAATATATTAGATCCAGCATCCCCTCCCTTTTTTCTTACGGTTGCAAGAAGATATGGACTTAAAGGCACAATTCATTCATGCTGCATGTGTTGATTACCTGCTAGCTTTTCAGTACTTTTTATCTTTGAAAATATAATACAATTCATACTGTGCTTTACATCTGAAATATAAAATTTGATTATTTACTAGGGGGGAAACAACTGTTAAACAGTAGTGTTGTTATTGTTGTTAAGTAGGTTTTGGGCTGTGTAATCTATGGAAATGTGAGATTCCATACAATGACATTAAAAATTAATCATTCGTATCAGGAGTTTTTCCCCAGTAACAAGAATGTAATTCATTTTAGTGAACAAGTGAGCTTTCTGTCATTCTACCAATCTGTAATATCTTTCCTCTTTTCTCCAAAACATGCTTCAACAGATGATGGTGAATAGAACAACTGAGGTACCAAAACCAACAGTTTTGTTAACCTATTCTTGCCAGCTCTTTGTTGAAAATCATTTCATCCCCCTGACCCCTGCCACCGCCATTACATTCAGTTCAGAGTGTATCACATTTCATTTTTATGTACTCTTGGCAGAAATATATTCTGTCTCATCTTTTTTATTTTGTTTTGGTTTTTTGGGGTTTTGAGATGCTCAATATTTTTGTATTTGTTTTTCACAATAGAATAGAGAACTAAAATAGTGGGCCTGCAGAGGAATTATTAAGTACAGAACAATTGCCTGTAACATGAATTTATTTCTGTAGCAGTGTAAATCCATTCCAAAATATTCATCTGCACAATTGGTTTGGATTGTTTGTTGCTTGCAAATGGCATTTTTAAATTTTTTAAATTCTTTCCCCTCTTCATAATTTATTATGTTTTCAAGAGCTGGGCAATTTAATATACTGAAATCAGTGGAACTCTGTTCCAATTTAATAGTATTCCCAGCTCAGCAGAGCTCAGATTCTATTTTCTTGAAGAAAAAATGATAAAAATGTCAACAATTGGATATTGAAAGCACTTAACAGAAGCTACCCCTTACTTTCACAGAACTGCTTTCTGTAGATAACCATGGAAATTAGCCATAGAAGATGGCTAACTAAGCATGGACATCTATAGTTTATCAACTCTTGGATCCATATTTTGTTAGCAATGTCCCTCACTTTCTAAATTATATGGAGAGTCAACAAGTAGCATGGCAGAATTTGATACAGTACTTGCTAAGAAGTATTTAAAAAATATTTTTTCTCCGAAAACAGAGAAAATGAGTTTTGCATCTGAACCAAGAAAAATGAATAAATAATGAAATGAGCAAATAAGAAACCATAATATTTAATTCTTGTACAATTAGAATTATCCAGGAGAGTAATTCTGGCTTATAGTGTTCAAATTTTAGTAACTATTTTCTTGTGTAAAAAAAAAAAGAACTGGATTTTCTAATTAGGACTGTTTTATTTTTGCAGAGTGGCTTCACACCTTTGCACATAGCGGCACATTATGGAAATGTTAATGTAGCGACACTTCTACTCAACCGAGGAGCTGTTGTAGACTTCACAGCAAGGGTAATGCGTTCTCATCTTCTGCACATAGAAATAACAGTGAATTTTCAAGGAAATTTTCATTAAATATATTGAAAAGGAAAGAAGAAAACAAGGAAGGAAATAAGAGAGGAAAGGAAATAAGGAAGGAAAGGAAGCAGTAAATCTATTCACAGATGTGTTTATTTAAAGGCAATGATTCTTCATTCCTCTTTCCCTAAGAAATAATCTCATGTTTCATAGTTGGAAAATAGTTGACTGTAATGGATTCATTATATTTTTACAGGATACCACTATAAATGAACAAAAAATATATCTAACATGGGTAATTCTCAATTTATGATCACAATGGAGCCCAACATTTATGCTGTTAAGTGAGACAATTGTTAAACGAGATTTGCCCCATTTTACAACCTTTCTTACCACAGCTGTTAAGTGAATTCTGCAGTTAAATTAGTAACAAAGTTGTTAAGTGAATCTGACTTCCTAATTGACTATGCTTGTCAAAAGGTCATTGCATGAGCCCTCAGGACATTGCAACCATCATAAATATGAGTCAGTTGCCAAGTGTCCGAATTTTGATCACATGACCATGGGGATGCTGCAATAGTCGTGTAAAAATGGTCATAAGTCACTCTTCTCCTAGTAGGTGGAGATATCATCCAGACATGGGTATTCCAGCCAGTATCCAATAGGACTGGGTCTACCAAATTGACAAGTCCCACCCTCCTTGCTAGCCTCTCCAGCTTAGACTCAGTCCGTTTCCATTGGACTGGCTGTGTCTGGTGATCTCTCCGACAGATTTAATAGTTAAAAGTAGGATTAATTGGTGATAAGTTGTGATTTGATTTATTGGCTAGTCTAAATCTTAAATTGACAAATTTGGTGCTTGGTGCAAAGGTTACAGGATTTATTCCCGGGTCCTAATGGCTTCTGAGGGAATTGGGCCCACAAGTTCTTCTCTCTGGCCTATTTGCTGCCATTTTCAGTGCCATTGTAACTTTGACAAACTGCTGCAAGTCGAAGATTACCTGTATTAATATTATATTTTTTCCTCTAAAAAGAGGCTAAAAATCTGGGTGTGTCTTATACACCGAATACAGCTTTTTTGCCTCCTGAAGCCCTGCCCTTCACCAAAATGGCTGTGCATAGCCTTATGGTTTTCAGAGATTCCTGGGGGCTGGAGGGCAGAAATGATGGCAGAAATGAGCCAAAAATGGGCAGTTTTTTGTCCCCCCAGCCCTCATCAGCACTCTATAAGCTTCCATAAGGCTATGCATGCAATTGTTTTGACAAAAAAAATGGGCCATTTTTGTGAAAAATGGGCCATTTTTTGCTCGTTTTTGCCCCCTCCCCGGGAGAACTCTGCAAGCCCTCCCCCAAGGCTATTCATGCCTTTTTTCAAAAACAAAAAACCGGGCCGTTTGGGGGAGGTTTGCAGAGTGCAAAAACTTTTTCCCCCTTTCGGAAAGCTGTTTAGTTAGAGTGGTTGATGAGAATTACATTGATCAAGTGTTGTCCCAGCAGAAACAAAGTTTTAGGTGCTGCAAGTTGTCAGCTGTTTCCTTCTCCAGCACATGGATAAATACACCTGGAAACATCTACCTACCTACCTACCTACCTTCTCACTACTACCTACTGTATTTCTCTCTCTCTCTCTCTCTCTCTCTTTCTCTTTCTATCCCTTTATCTACCTACCTACCTACCTACCAACCTACACTACTCTCTCTCTACCTACCTACCTACTGTATTTCTCTCTCTTTCTCTCCCTCTCTATCCCTCTATCTACCTACCTACTTTTTAAAAAAAATTGCCTCTTCAAAACCTTGGTGCGTTTTATACTCCGGTGCGTCTTATACTGAAAAATATGGTAATCTCTATATAAGTTAAGAATTGCTATGAATTGGGCATTCAAGAAAAAATGTATGGTAGCAAAACCAAAAGCGTTATTAATCTAGAATATGCTTACCTCGCCAGATTTTAACGCACCTGCAGCTTTCTCTCAATAATCAAGGTATTGCTTATTCCACACATATTGCTTACTGATGAAGATGGAAGCAGGCTTTCTATTTTGAAAGCTTCCTTTAAATTTTTACAGATACATTGAAACACAACTAGGACAATATGTGGGGAAAGATCTGGGGAGGACATGACTTCACAAGGAAATTGTCAGATAAGAGTCAGTATTGCCCATAACTGGATGATGGGTGGGGCAGGAGGCTTAGAAGGTGCCTACCATAGTGTCTCTGCCTCAAAAACAGGTTGGATGGAATGATTGCACTTTCAGAGTTGAGAGATTATCATTGAATCACAACCAGACAAATTAATTCTACTTTATTGTAAAGCCATGTTCATAGAATCTAGCAGTCTCCCTATCTTCCAAGGTCTTTCCCATATATCATCATGGCTATAACAATTATCTCAGGATAATAAATTGGGAGAGTTTGCTTTATTAACCCATTTTCACACATAGATCTTCATATGGATCATGTTACTTCTCTAGGGTCATGTTACTGTCACTTCATAATTTATTTTGTTCTCATTCTAAAGTATTCAGTGATTGTTTTGTTTTATATCAGCACAATATCTAAATCCACTAAAGCTTATCTTTATCTAGTATGCTATATTTTGAGGAAAACAATTGAATCCTTCATTTATCTCTATGAATCATTTCATGTTGATCAAATTCACCTCATTAGGACACCAAACTAACTCTTATTTCCACATGAATGAACATTTTCTTATTGCAGCAGGTCTTAGAAATTATTGAATTATATTTCTGTGATGACCAAGGCTTTTATGTTTTAACTATTCTTGATAAACCGGTTTGCATTGTTTTTTTTAAAATAGATATTGGCCTTTAAAGAATAATACCCTCAAATAAATTTAGAAATATTTTAAACAAGCTGAATAAGTATTTATATAAAGCTACAAATGTGTGCTCTTTTCTGTCTAATTCTTGAAATCGTGCAAATAAACCTTTTTAAAAAACAAGAACAATACAGCTTTTCAGCTGGAAGTCACCTTCATCCTAATAGTTCTTACACATACATTTTATTTGATTTAGTAGGATTAATTTTGGAGCAGATACAGTAAACACAGGATTGTGCTGTTAATTTTGAACATCTTATAACTCACCATCTAACAATTTTATTTATTTGTCATATTTAGACACTACTTATAACTCCCTCACAGAGCAGCTATTATTAACTGTCTGATGGTTGCATGGGCTCAGCTCAAATGTTTTTTCCCTACTTAATTTCTACATCTTAGTAGGATTGGCTTTCTTCATACGTTTAAAGTGCTTTTTAATATTTTTTCCTTCTATCCTTCCTTCCTTCTCATGCCAAATCCTTACGTACTATTAATGAATAAGAAATGAAGCAAAATCTTCAGACCTCTTTAAGACATTTTAATGCAAATTTGTTATGATAATTGGCTTCATTGTTGCACTACTGTGTTTATGTATGTAGGTATTTGATAGAATATAAATATAGCTATGAAGGTCATTTTGTCTTTCATATTGTCTGTGTATGTCTGCAGCAAAATTTTTGATGTTTTGATCTTTCAAAATGTTAAATTGGAGTGCACTGCAATACCCAAATGTATATTTAAAAGTGTTTGTAAAAGCAAATATTTAAAAGCACATGTAATAATTATGACTTTACTTCCATGAACCAATAGAAACATGTGGACATATATCATTGCTTTTATTACATTTAATCTAGGTTACTCTAAGCCTTAATGCTAAATGCTATTATTTCTTTACACATCTAATTAGTATACACTTAAATGACACAATTATCATCCCTTTCTAGTTCTCAAAAAAGCATCATTATTTTATTATTAAGTTTATGTAGCTCCCCTTCTAATGCTTGTGGCTCTGGGAGGTACACACGGTTAAAATAACAACAACAATAAAAACCCAAAACAATTAAAACAACAATTAAAATACAATTAGAACAGTTAAAACTATCCTAAAATAAGAACCACAGGAGAATGTATTTCAAACTTACAAGCAATATCATTCAGTGGACTCCATGTTCTTGGAATCTCAGCCTTGATGACAAAATTATATTTTAAGGGCCTTCCAAACAGGGTTTGGGCTTCACATAATAAGAGAAAATGCTTTTCTTCTGGGTCACCTCCTTGGGGATGGGATAAACCATCCTACTGGATCTGAGGAAATGGGGAGGTAACTAGACAGACATGTCTCTCAAAGGACTTAAAAAGAGGTGAAATACTAGCAGGTGGCATCATTAACAACCTGCACATTATTTACTTAAGTTATCCTACATTCATTCCTCCAGGGTATGTTTCAATGCGCTCCCTTCTGCAATCATGGATGGCAGAAATAAAGGAAACTCTGTAACACTTAGATATCTAACAAACCCTTGATTATGTTTTTCAAAGTTGTACACGCTATATCAGTGATGGTGAACTTTTTAGACACTGAGTGGCCAAACTGCACATGCACGTATGCCAAAACTGAAAGGTATGTGTGTGTGTGAATGTGCATGGGTGCAAACATATGCACGTATGCACAGACATGCACATACACATAGCAGAGACTCGCTGGCGGGAGGCGGTGCATCCCAAAACCGGCAGCAAGCAAGAGGTAAGATCTTTTCTTGGGGAAGCTTCTGTTTCGTCATTTGGAAGGAAACGCAAGCTCACAAAAGAAATGCCACGGAGATCTGACTTGGGGAGATGGTGCACGTGCCAATGGAGAGGGCTCTGTGTATGACCTCTGACACGCATGCCATAATTCGCCATCATGGCTCTATATGGAACTATGCTTCAGTGATTTTTCCCTCTAATGGAAAAGCTTGTCCAGCTATCCTGATCAAATTTTATTTATTTTAAAAAATAACAGAATATCAGAATGGGGATAGGGGACCTTAGAGGTCTATTAGTCCAACCTCCTGCTCTAGCAGGAAACCCTATACCTTCTTAATTAATAGTTGTGTGCCTTATTCATAACAAATGGCTTATCCAGAAAGAAGTAGACTGTACAGTAAATTGTTTTAACACTATTTTATATTTTTAGATAACGCTTGGTTTATTTTAAATTATGTTGTTCTAGTTGTACACTGTAATAAAGGAGGAGGAGGAGGATGTTGAATGACTTCAATTGATTTTGCAAAAAAGCTAAAAAGGTTTGGCCCTGGTTGGACTTGATGGGAAGGTATAAGGAAATCCCAGATCTAGGGATTAGAACTCTGATCATCAAAACACATTCTTTTATAAACCTTCATTCAGAATGCTTGGATCCAACATTTTTTTCTAACCAACCAAGCAGGCAGTGGCAATCACTTCTGCTACATTGCTTAGAAAAGCAATGATACAAACTATATACCTAGAGTCAGGCTTTGATTGGTAGCCTTTATGAATCAGATATAATTGTTTGTAAATGTTGAGTGTACTCTGTGATACATCCGTGTTTATATTCTGTACTGTTTTGTGTCAAAATGCAAAACCATTCCCATTGAACCTCTCCAACCCCATCATGCTTTTGTTTGTTCTTTTCATGGTGTAGAATGGAATCACCCCACTGCATGTGGCTTCCAAAAGGGGGAACACTAACATGGTGAAGCTCTTGTTGGATCGTGGAGGGCAGATCGATGCCAAAACCAGGGTGAGTGTTTTATTCCCTGAATGTATGTTCTCATGCATTTAACATTTTTGCTTGGTAAGAGGCTAGAACTTTAATCACATTCTTTTAGAAGATTTTTTTTTGTCTTTATCAGCAGAAGGAAATCCATGCAGTGTTATTTTATTCATGGAAGATACTCTTTCTGTTTTGGCTGTATGTACTTTGAAAATGAATTTGGGCCTTTTGGTTAAGATCAAGTGTAGCATTTGTTCTTATCAGAAAACCATTCTGAAAAAGTGTTCCAGTACTTGTACAAAAGTTTCAGTTCTCTGTTTTTCGTTAAAATGGCCTGATTTTTTTTTCAAGCTGCTGTGTGAAAAAGATGATACTGTGTTTTTTTAATGCTTTAATTTTCAAAGTGCACAGAGTCTTGCTTTCAATTTATAAAGGAAAACTTTGGATTAAACTTCAATCCATTTGGATTATTGCAAAGTGCTGTGCATGAGACTCCCCTTGAAAAGGTTGAAACTGATCCAGAATGCAATGGTGCATGCAGTGGTACATTGCACCCCGTCAAAACCTGCACCAGCTCCCTATTTTCTTCTGGATGCAATTTAAGGTGCTAGGTACTATTTTTAAAGTCCCACATTGTGTGGGACCAAGCAATCTGAAGGACTGTCACTCTCTCTGAGGCTATCTTTCTGGACCACCATAGTGAATTAGATAGGGACACTCCAGTTCCTTTCCCTTAAACATTGCCAACTTATGAGACCTTGGCAGTATGTCTTTTCCATTTTAGTCCCTGCTTTATGAAACATTTCCCCTGCTAATATCCAATGGGCTTCATCTTTCTGTCTTTGCCTAGAGTACTTAAAACTTGGCTCTTTCCCCAGGCTTTGGGATAAAGTGAGGGCTGGGTAGGATTAGAATATGGATGCACTAGGAAGGTATGGCTTGATGACAAGATCTTGATTTTTTCCCTGTTTGTTTTTAGTTTGTTGTTGGCTTTAAATGATTTTATTGATTGCAGAATTGTTTTAAGATGGGTGGCTGTTCTGATCCCCTCCTGAGACAAGCTTAACTGGAATGTATTTTAATAGCAAGACCAAAACCTCGGTGGCTGAAAGCCAAGCATAACAAACAGATAAGGACCTTGGCAGCAACTCAGACAAACTCAGGCAGCAATAAACACAGATAAGGCTTGGCAGCAATCCAGCCTGCCAAGCTCACAGTAATGTCCTCCGACATTCAATCCTACAGTAATGTCCTCCGACATTCAATCCTGCGTTGACTTCTAAAAGAGGGCCATGTGCACAAGTAGCTTTTATAGTCTGAAGAGGAGCCTAATGACCACTAGCTGAGCGCAATTACCTCCTGTAATTGTGTAATTGTTCCTGATGCCGAGTAGCTCTTTGATGGCATGCATCCAGGAACAACTCACTGCTGGTTTCTGGATCACTCTCCCTTGTCTCCTCCCCACTGGTCCAAGGCTTAGGCGCTACCTGGTGGCCAACCAGTCTCTCTGCACCCTGCTTGGAGTCAGAACCCTGTCTAGGGTCCTCCACATCCTCCAGGGCCGACTCATAGGGCCCCTCACTGTCGGAGTCTGGTGGCAGCTCCAACGGCTCCTGCTCGGCCACAACAGGTGGTTATATAAATGTTTTGATTCAATAAAATAATTCTGCTAAAATTATGGGTTTACTTTAAACTCAATTATGTTTAAATTCTAGAACAGGTTAATAGAACCCACTAAAGATAAGCCTCGAGAAAATGATCAGGTCCTTAAAGTTTCCCTAATAGCTGACAGTGAAAGTGCCTTAATAAAGTTATAGGGACAGTAAGCTCAAGAGGAGCTTTCTGCAGAAAAATCTGATTAGCTTCTGCTACCAAGCTAAACAGCTGTTGAAAGAGACTGGAAAAGAAAACCAAGGGAACATCTACTCCTATAATGAAGATGAAAGATTTATTTAGGGAGCTGATATAGTAACTATCAATGGCCTTTCTAATTCAAGATTCTGGGATATGATTACAGATAGAAGTATTCCAACAAATCTAACGTTCCATGGTCTATTTTATTCTTTCTACCAAACAGGAAACAATACTTGATGAAAATATAATCGCAGATTCTATGATTTCTGTAAGATTACGCTTCTGAAAAAGATTTTAAATGACTTTATTGTTTAATTTATCACCCACATCAGATGAGAGTGTTGTCCTGAACTGCCAGTACAGAGATATTGACATCTGAAAGCATTGGCATCCAATTTGTATATAATTTGCCTATTTTTCAAAACATTTTCAGTGTGGGAGATTCCAGACTTTGGGTTTCATTTGTCGGCGTCATGTGACTGTGCAAAATCCTTGTGTCCAACTTTGATTCAGCTTGTATCATTTTTGTTCCTTGCTTTGTCTACTTTGTCATGGTCATATGTAAATGAATAATGATGATTTGCATAATTTATAATATAAAAGCCTTACAGCTAAAGATATGATTGTCGAGTAGAAAAATAGAATACATATTGCCAAAATGGATTGTATTAATAACTACAGGAAAAACAAGAAAGAAAGAGTCTCATATCTGTTTTAATCATTGTTGCTATGAGCCCCTGAAATCCAGTGTAACTCAATTAAGTCAGCCGTGCCCAAAAAGTATGTGTGTGGGACAATCAATTTTGCCATGTCACTACGCAGCCTCCCTCACCCCAACAGCCAAAACTTAGAAAACAAGGAATTATTTTTATTTTGTGACAGGAAGATACCAGGTTGCTAAAACCAAACCATAAACACAAGACAATATCAATATTCTATCATTAAGTTAAAACCTAATGAATTGTGAATGAATAGGGACTTGGCTCAGGAAGGAAAAAGGAACATGAATAATTAAAGGAGGAGAAAAAATGATTCAGTCAGGGGAAAAGGAAAAGGTGAGCAAGAAATCAAAAATAACCTTTGATTTTTTTTGTTTAAGATATACAGTGGGACCTTGGGTGCTGACCGTAATCCGTTCCAGGACTTTGTTGGCACCCGATTTGGTCATGACCAGAGGCAAAACTGACTGCGCATGCATGCGCAAAAAAAAAAGCATGGAAAGGGAAATCGTTGCGGCAGAGAAAATAGCTGCAGCTGTATTTATTCGGCACCCGAGGATGTCTCTGTGACCTGAGTGAAACATTTAGTGGATTTTTTGGTCAGCACCTGATTTGGTCATGGTCTGAGCCATTTGTGACCCAAGGTCCCACTGTAATAGAGAAAAATTGGCATGTTTTTAAGATTTAACAATTTTAGAGGTAGAGAGAAATTGACATGCTTTCAAGCTTCCAGCATATAAAAGTGAAGCTTACACTGCTAGGTTGCCTGTTAAATCAGTCCTGCTGAACCAGGGGTCCCACTACGTGGCTGTGGCCCATTCAGAACTGGGCTGTGCAAGCGGTGGGCATTCATGCATGTACACATATCCACTTACATGAATAGTGGTGCTTACCCACAAAGTTCCATTTGTGTAAGTGGCAGATGCTGGCACAGAACCATCCATTTTCACTGGCAGAGGGTTGCAGGAGGCCATCCCAGCCGAAAATGGAAATTAGGAGCCCATTTTCACTGGCAGAGCTCTCAAGCCGCAACAGGTACCCCCGACACAAGTGAGGTAAAGCTGGGCATGCCCACTCTGTACATGCCTACGCAGCTCTCCGAGATCAAACAAAATCCTGATGCGGTCCTCAATGAAATCGAGTTTGACACTCCTGGATTAAGAGATGACCCCAGGTGCTCTATTTTTGGTAGAAGGTTTTTTAGATTGCCCTTTGTATGAATATTATCAGTTATCCTATGGTGATAATGGTGTCTATTGATTTCTCCTGGGCTTTTGGAGTTTGTGTCTGGTGAATGTATCACAGCAAAGCATTCAACTTTTTCTAGGCTGAGATCTGATTAAAGGGACATTCTCCGTTTTCTGTGAATTGTGCTAGGGGTCAAAAAAGACATTTGCTGCCTATGGCTTGAATGTAAACAGATCCATTTGTATAGTTTATGACTATAGTAAAGTAGGGCTCTGGAACATATGGGGGATTGTACCTCCATTCAGACAAATACATGTATGTTCCCCTTCAGATTTCCAGCTGGTGAGAAAATGAATGAGAATGCAACTGAATATATTGAAGAGGCTTACCGCCACTGTGGTTTTCCTTTCATCTTCTTCTTTCAGCATTAGGGACACAAACAAAAGAACAGAAAAGTACGCTAGCTAAATTTTGCCGGGGGGTGTTCTTCTATTTTAGCCACTCTTTCAACAGTGTTATTAAAAAACACAGTTAATTTATGTAGCATTTGGGCAGAGGTAATGTGGAACAGTTGAGGTCCATTTAGAAATAGAAAATTCTCTGTACAACTGTGTGGCCTTCCATGAGGAGCACCGCCTACCCATTGATGCTAAAAGTGGTTTTATCAAACTATTATCATGTCATCCAATGCTTCAGTGCATTTCTGGGATTTAGAAACTGATACCTATTTTCAAATATTATGACTTGCTTTATTTCTGTGGTGTGAAATTTTAGCAACATTTAAGAGTACCATCCACTTAAGTACTGTACATATAAAACATTATACACAGCTGTTGGTAATAAAGTGACATTAATATTAATAGAGTTTAAGTTAGTTACAGTTATAACTTTCAGGTCTTATTTATTTATTTGTTGCTTTTAAATAATAGGAAAATAAAAAAGGAACAAAACACAGAGATAATCATGATAAAAATACATACAGTATATTATAAAAGGAAAAAAAGGAAATACTTTAAAAAGGTGATAAAAAGTACAACAGAAAAAAGGAAAAAGAAACAAAGTATTATATATTGTTTTAATAGTAAGCAGTTTCAGTTTTATGTACATACACATATACATACATGCATGCATACATACATCGTGTACATATACATACAGGCATGCATATATTTATGTATGTATGTGTGTATTTGCATTTGGCTCTTAAAAGAGTAAATAAATTATAACCTAGAGAGCTCAATGTGCTGAACTGGCTGAATGTTGACC